ATAAATTCCCAATGCATTAAGGCATGAAAATGGCACAGATTCATTCATAGATTAAATAAGAGATGAATATGGGAAAAATAGGCATAAACAAGCCGAATTAAGGTGCTTAAAATAATTTCATAAAAATTATTTATATCAGTCTCTAGTTTCACAAGCCTGAGTCGGAACTTATTTGTGAAAGTCAAATAAACTGAAAATGAAAGAAAGAGATAAATTGGAAATAAAATTAAGAAATTTACTTAGTACAAATTGAATTATAAATTCAAGTGAAAAATAAAAAAAAACAGAGGAATTCGTTTTGGAGATAGAACAAAATAAATAAAACAAAGATAAACAAAAATATAAAAAAGAATAAATAAGCAAAGAACGGTTTGGAATAAGACATTTGAAAAAAATTCTTATTGGTGATTAAGTGATTCCCTTCCACCCGCCTTTTCAAACAAAATGAAAGATATGCAAGCATCAAGTGAATGTTAATTTGGTAGCCAAGGTAGCTATATCTGGCCAGAAAAATTCACCATGATCCATAGCTCATAGTTTTTTCTGTAGTTATTAAAAAGATAAGCAATTAAAAGCAACTATGCCTCACTTACGCATCACGCAGTTGCGTCCTGGAGGCATAAGCACGTCCCAGAGAGCTAGATTTGCCATCTCGGGTTCAATGTTGTCCATACTAATAGAAAGGAAACCGGAAACCCCACTTCCACCCATGCTTCCGGCAATTCCACTTCCGGCCTGTGTCGAATGTCCCGGGTCCATGGGAGCTGTGACACCACTGGCTCCTGAACCAGAAGCTGGACTTAAAAGGGAAGAGACAGCCTGGCCAGCACCCATAGACCCGATCGGCATAGTGGCAGGACTAGGAGAATAGCTGCCGATCGTGGAGGTGGCCGCCCCGTTTGCGACGCCCGTCGCCGGGGCTCCACCACAGCCAACAGTGGCGACTAGGGTGTGACTGCAAAGGAAAGCGAAGTCAGCCACTCCCCTGGCGTGACAGCGAGCACGCTGGGAATGCCAAATGAGAAAAAGTATGAAGGGAAGAATAGTTAGGAAAAGTTATCAGAAGGACAATAAGGCCAACGTAAAATGGATTAGGAAATCCAAATCACACTATTACGATGTTAACTGTGGGTAACACACCTTCGTGTGCTATAAGTATTAAAAATAATAGCTGGGATTTGAATCTGATAATATGAAATGCAACTTAAATGAAACAAAAGCAATCGGATATGAAGCGTTAGGCCTAGGTAGGCCAATAATTGAAATTCAACAACCATGATTGAGACGAAACAGAAATACGCGAGGTAGCAAATAAAAATCATTGCTAGTTAAACAGGAAATAAGGGAGTCAAAGAATCACGAGACTATTTGCAAAACAAATTTATGTTTTCTGCATTCAGAAGCACAGAGTTCTTTGTTTAGTTTAAATTCCAGAATTCTGAAACTTTTAATTAGCAATTGTTGGAAAGAAAGATGATGAAATACAAAAGCTAAGACCAGTTAAAAAGATATCGAAAGCATGTCTGAGTTTCCATTTATATTAGCAAATGCTAATTGCTCGTTAAAAGTTTAGTTTGGTACGACATCGCCTAATGCTAGAAGAATGACGTTGAAGACTCTCAGGAAAGAAACTAAAAGATGCATAGATATTTATAATGATAAAAGTTGAGCTGTTGCAAAAATCCACTAAAAGCTTAATTAGAATGAACTCCTATTACAAGCTTTCTTAAAAAAAGCAAGCCCCAAACCCGCACATTCTGGTGACACAACGTAGTATAAACGGATCTCCTAAGCACTCAAGACGAATCAAGCAAAAATAATAGAACGAACATGAAAGAAAATTAACCAAACCACTCTATATCGATCTGTCTAG